CGGGCTGCTGCTGCCATGGCCCTGCAGGGCATCCTGCAGCCGTGACTCACGCAGGTGTCACCTCAGCGCCTGGCCCGGGGCAGCACGGGCCTCCTTGCATGCAGTGACTCACGATCCTCGTGGAGAATGCAGCATGAGATCACGCAGTGGAGGTGAGGGATGAAAGATGCCGTAGGAAAATGGTCCTTCCTCCCACCAGGCAAATTTCCACCCCATTTCCCTGCTGCATCCGCATGGAGCCAGGTTCTTGAGACCCTGCGTGTGCCCAAGGGACACTCTGAGACACCACGGCTCGTCCATGCAAAGGAGGGAGGACTGGGGGGTGAAGAGGGAAAGGGAGGCTTGGTTTGAGCTACGCCTCCCCCTGGCACAGCAAGGTACAGAAAATGGGGTGGTCTTCCCATCTCCATCGGGAGTTGTGCGCACATCCAGGTGAGTCACGGCATCAGCCTCCCACAACTGCTGCATCTGCCTGAGAGCCCTTGGGGTGAGACTTGAACGCTTGAGAAAAAGAGGAGTGGCAAGCGGAAAGGCTCTGATTTTGCTGCCTCTGCTAATTTCTATCTATTGGGTGCACAAAGGATTTCCTGCTGCGGGGCTGTTCATCAGACAGCCCTTGTGAGCAATGACTGCAAACAATATGTGCCGTGTCCCCATTGCGACGCTCCCGTGTGATGACAAAGCAGGACGGTTTTTATGGGGAAGGTCTCTGTCCCTTGTCATTCAAATGCCATTTGTGTGCCAGACTTGCAGCAGGATTTTCTAAGCCCACAGAAAGCTTCAAAACTTACCACCATCTCTGAAAAAAAGGTCACCAATATTTTCCAGAATGCAAAACATTTTATTAAAAAAATAATTTACTGTCTCTTATATACAAACCACAAGAATATTGACTTACAAAATACTGACATCTGAACTCATTGTGAAAGCTGTAGGCAGAAGGAGCGAGTTTTCCAGACATGCTACATGTGCAACTAGCTGTAACTCAAGGAAGGAATGTTTTGTTCTACCACTAAAATAGCTCTGCTTGTTTCTGCAGTGTGTACAGTGGGTCACTTGTTGTCGCGCCAATGGAGTTAAGTTGACAGTCCAAGCCACCCTCAAATTCATGAAAAGCATCTGCATAGTGTAAAAGATGAAGTTAAGATGAAGTCCCTGGTGTTCATGCAGCACTATGGGCAATAGATTTGGCTACTCTTAAGTAGTTCATTGCTCTGAGAGAAATGCTGTTGTATTTCTTGGCAATATCCAGATCAGTGATTCCTCAGCATACCTAAATACCGCAGAATCCGGCCCTTCGGACAGTTAGTTGAGACCAAATCTCACCCCATTGGAGTTAACAGCAGGATGAACATTGATTTCAGTGGGGCCAGGTATTCCCTGCGTGAGAAGGGATGGACATAACCAGCCCTGTGCTGCGTCGCAGGCCAGTACGTTTGCAGGCAGCTGAGAAGCTCGCTACAGAACAGGGAGACACCCATCACACAGCCACCAACACCCTGTGACGGGCATGGGGTGAGCGAAGCTGCCGTGAACATCTGCGGAACCTAAGTGATCTGTCGGCTGAAAACGACAGCCGTGGGGAGCTGTTCCTCAGGCCCAGCGACACACACCGTTCTCAGTGTCTAGAGTGCCTGCCCCAATCCCGCTCCCAGACCTTGCCACCCTGGGACACTTGCAACAGGCAGCACTGGCGTCCACAAAGCTGTGGCCGCTCAGGGTGCCACGTGCGACGCCGGAGCTGGCTGCCGGCTCGTGATCTCGTAGAACATTTCCGCAATGAGCTCGACAATGTCCGCATTGCCGATGACCGGCCTGAAGAAGAGGTCCGTGATGAGGGCGGGAGGGATGGATTTCAAGGTGGAAGCGATCAGCAAGGTACGGGCAAAGCGGCCCTGGTCCTCGGGGTGCAGCGGCCGCAGCACTTCTTGCAGCGCTCTCTGCGCTTCCCGCTGGAGGCTCTCAATGTACAGGGAGGCCCTCAGCCCTGGGACATCTATGGAGAGAAAGGAGGGAAAAACAGTGAGGAGAGAAGCTGGAAAACAGCTCCCGTTTCTCCTGTTCCTCTGTCCTCCAGCTGCTTCTGCTGGGATCTCTGAGCGCTGCATTCCTTAGACGCAGCCCTGCTGAGACACAGCCACTTTGGGGCTGCTGAGCAGCAGGGGAGAATCAGACCCATCAAACTAAATCCTGAGGCCCCTTCTGTGTGCAGGCCAGCAGCATTAGGCAATTACAGGTATCCATGAGAAAATAACCAGCCCTCCTCTCCTGTGCACACTCCCGCCCATGCCCAACCACTCCAAGCCAGGAGATGGAGTTTTAGGTGCTCACGCATACAGGGCCTTCTCTCCCCATGGACGGGGCTTTGGCACTCACCAGGATTGAAGAGGATGGCGCCCTTCAGGTAGGCATACTCCTTTGGGCTCAGGTCCAGGCTCCAGAAGGTGTTGAGGCAGCACTGCAGCCGCTGCACTGCAGCCAGCGTGGGCTGCGTCCTCTCGGGCTCCTGCTGTTTGCTCTGGCCATCAAGAAGGATCTTCTTGAGCATGCTGGGGGCCGGCGTCTCCATCACCTCGAAGGTCACCATCTCCTGCACCAGCCCCAGCAGGAAGAGGGGGGCCCAGCAGCTGTCCAGCAGCAGGAGCTGGTCGTCCCGGGGCAGCAGCTGGAAGGAGGGCAGGTTCTTCATGAAGCTCACGGTTTTCACGAGCACGTCGGAGGCTGCCTGGCAGGTGACGTGGGGCGTGCGGAGGCAGACGGTGCGGCGCTGGTGGCACAGGCAGCGCTGCTGGGCCGGGCCGTAGCTCACGCGGCTCTGGCTCAGGTTCTGGCTCAGGAGGGTGTAGAGGATGGCGGTGCGGGTGTCCTCGCTGTGGCACTGGCACCTCTCGCATGCCACATCCACGCTGCTGCTTGTCATGGCCGAGCTGGGTGTCTGGATCCTGGGCAAAATTCAGCTCCGCTGCTGCAGAGGGAGGAAATCCGCAAGGCAGGACACGTTGTCCCCCTCACCCCGTCACCGCTCCCTGGGTGCAGCTTGTCCTCCCAGCCCACAGCTGTTAGAACCGGCCCTTCTTATAAAGCCAGGCAGCGGGTGAAACACCCCTTCCCAGCCTTGACCGCGCTGTGATTAAGCAGTCCTCATTAAAAACAAAACAAAACAAAAAAACCATGGGGTCATCCCAGGCTGATTGGCTGCAGCGAGCGCCTTCCCCGCACGGAGTCAATGGCCGTTTTCTCAATGAAGTGCCAGCGGGGCCCAGCCGCGGGTTGGGCAGCCCTTATCGTGATGGCCCCAGCAGTATAAACAGAGCCATTAACCCAGGCGGTACCATGGCACCAAGGCCCCACCGTGTCATCGGGCAGCGCTGCTGAGCAGGCGCCGCTGCCAAGAGGTTCACACGCACACACGGCCCTCGCGCGGAGCACAAACAGCCCGCGCGCTGCGGCCTTGGGAGGAGCAGCCTGGAAGTTGCCTTATCGGCGCCTGTTTGCTTAACCTTGCTCCCAACGGACTCCCGGTGGCGCAGGGAAGCAGGAGAAACCCTGTGAACTCCAGGCAAGGGCCATGGTACCCAGCCCGCCGCAAAGGCAGCCTGGGGCACAAGAGAAATATCAGACTGGGCCATTTTGTTATGTTCTTATCTTTATTTTCCAGGTGTGTTTATCCCTGCGCAACGGGCGCAGTTTTGGGCAGGAAAGCCCCGCAGCAGCCGGTTCCTTGGCCGGGCCACGCGCGGGGGCCTCATGGCCACCGATGCCGCCACTTCCCGGGGACCATGGGGATGGGGGCGGTGACGGCGGCGTGACCTCCGC